GTGTGTGTGTGTGTGTGTGTGTGTGTGTGTGTGTGTGTGTGTGTGTGTGTGTGTATAGAACTATTCATATAATTCATACTGTATATTTCCTTTCTATTTAGAGATAAATAAGCAGTTAATGAGACCACTCTCTCGTGGTTTCCCTCTATATGAACCACTGTCAAACCAGCAATTTTTCTGCTATCTTTCCAGTTGATCTGGCTCTCTAGATTTTTCATGTATTTATTAAAAATTATTTATTTATTAATTTTTCCTTAAAAATACAGAACCAGCAACTAATTAAAGTGTAATGAAGGATCTGATTGAGAAATTTACCAGTGGATGTGGGTTTGGAAAACAGTCCATATAACTTCCACAAGTTGCTTCCCAACTATTATCTTGAATGCTGGAGGGATAAGTATGTGCACATTTTAGGGGCAAATTTCTAGATATAAGCCACAAAATAATAGAAGGGAAGAAAAGGGCAAGGCAAGGAAAGAAAAATGAGAGAAGAGACGAGAAGAGAAAGGACGGGAAGAGAGGGGAAGGGAGGGGAGGAAAGGAAGCTTTTAAAGGAAAACTCAATGTTTGTAATCTAAACTGAAATGAATGTATTAAGAAATATATAAACAGTTTCAGATAAAGAAAACAAAGCTTGAAATAGATATTCATTGGTTTATTTGTTTAAAATTTAACAGCTGTTTAATAGCCTCCCTTACTTTTTTAGTCTTCAGACTGTAGATAATTGGGTTTAACATGGGGGTAGAAATGCTATATTGCACAGAGAAGAGTTCATCCATAACAACTGAAGAGATTGAATTGGGTCTCAGATACTGAAAGTAGCCAGTAACATAGAATAAAGCCATCACAATGAGATGAGAACTGCAGGTGGAAAAGGTTTTCTTCCTAGCTTCTGCTAATTTCATCTTTAGGATTGTGATGAAAATATTGACATAGGAAACTAGAGTAAGTGAGAATGTGAACATCCCAACTATTGCACTAGTAACATAGAACATTATTTTACTTGCTGTGGTCTCAGTGCAAGACAAGGCAAGAAGAGATGGAAATTCACAAGAGAAATGTCTGATAATATTTGGACCACAGAATACGAGCTTTAGTACAGGCACAGTATTTGCAATAGCATATAACAATCCAGTAGTCCAAGCACTTCCTACTAATTGTTTACAAAATAATGCATTCATTGTTTTTATATAATGAAGTGGATCATGTATGGCAATATATTGGTCATAAGCCATTGCTGTTAGAATAAATACTTCTGCCTCACCTGTTAGAAGGATAAAAAACATCTGAGTAATGCATTTGTTATAGGAAATGGTTTGGCCATTGAAGAAATCAAGGAGAACTTTAGGGACTGTGACTGAGGAATAGCAAATATCCAGAAAAGAAAGGTGATTCAGGAAAAAGTACATGGGACTTTGAAGATGACTGCAGTTTTTTATTACCATTATGATGACTATATTACCCATTAATGCTATTGCATAAATGAGTGAAAACACAAAAAAAAGAAAGATCTGGACGGGAATGTTATATGAAAAACCAGATAGAATGAAATAAGTCACTGTGGCATTCAGATTTTCCTTTTCCATTTCAGCAAACCACCATCTACAGTGTGAACAAAACATCACAATATTATACAATAAAAATATTATACAATAAAAATATTACAAGTAGTAGATTAATAGAGATGACTTATATGAACAAAAATAAAATACAATATGTCAAATAATTAAAAGAATAATAAGCATTTAACCTTTACCCAAAATTTAATATTCTTATTACATAAAAAATAATTATTCCATCAATGATACTTCAATAATTAGTAACTTTTATTAACTAATCACTTAAATTATTTAAAATGTGTAAACATGGCTTTCTTAAAGGTGACTACTTTGGATTCATGGCTCTTTTGGTTAAGTCTTTAAAAAAAGACAACAGAAATATATTTTGAAATTGTGATTGGTGAGAAAAATATTGTCTATTGCAAACTAAAGGCATATATGTTGATGATAACTGAGGACATATTGAAGATGAACATCAATCATCTAAGAGCTTGTGATCCAATCTTTACAAAGAGGCTCTAACATTTTATGTTGTTCATATAGAAAGCGTTTTGATACAGGATCTATACATACAATATACAAGTGATACAATATATCACTCATATTTTCTTTATCACAAAGAATTTACTTGAAAGCATAATTTTGATGATATTGAGAACATCTGAGAGAGAAGAGTTATTACAAGCTGGAAGTGTTATTTATTCCCCCAGCTTTTCTCTCCGAATGATGTAGTTGAAAGTAATACTTGAAACAATTTTTGAAAACGATATTAGGATTATTTTGCTTTGATTTTAAGACAAAACCCTCAAAATCTTCTTTTTTATTATTTTTAAAAGAATAAAAATATGTAGAACAAAAACACCAATTATTTATTAAAACTTCTAGGCTACTTTTGTTTCTTGGAAGTATAGTATATATAAGGAAAATACATAATAATATGTACATATACTGTAACTAAACTAAATGTTTTTGTTAGCAATATTTCTTCTGCACCATTGTAAAATCATATGTACTGATTTAAAAAAATATCTATGCCCATTTTGTTATAACAAATGCATTGATTTCATTACTCATAAAATAGATGTACATAATATAAAAAAGAATTGGGAAAACAATACCTGATATGCTTCAGAAAGGTTTGACTGTGCACTTAAATCATGAACAAATCTTATTTATATTGTTGGAATAAATGATAAGGACATTTCCTGAACCACAAAAACATGGAGAAGAAGTGGAAAGACTTATCCCCAAAGGCTAATTAATAGTGTGTGAGTGGGTCTATTTGAGTATGTATAAACCAGGGACGTGCAGTCAGGGGAGGCAGAGCCTCATCACTGTCATCATGAAAAGAAAAGAAAATGTAAAAGGAAAAAGGCTGAGGTAGTTGCTGTCAGAGTCACAGTGGATGACTCTGCTTAGTGCTTAACTGTAAAAAAGCCTCTAAAAAGTGCTCTCTACAGGAGGAGATGGGGGAACGAGGTGCCTCATTTAGTCTGACTTTATGATCACTTGAACAAAGCTAAGCAAGGGTTAAAAGCTGAA